GTTGAGCTTTCACCTCACAGCCCCAGCGCATTTCAAGCTGCCAGTTGTAACAACAAGCAGAGAATAAAAAATATCCTCACCTCAAAATCATCATCATCAACCTCCCCATAGTGGGTGTGGTTCTCTGGGTTGTTGACTTTGTCCAACAGCTCGACTGCTAAAGACCTGGAGAGACCAGGCTGCCCTACAAAGCTGTGCTGTAACCACACAAAAAAAAGAATTTTTAACGTGCAATTAATAGATAATTTTAATAATGTAATATAAATTATTAATATAATTATAATGTAATAAACATTTAGGAGTTACTGATTTTTTTTTTGGTGCTTTCTGGGGGTTCAGCTGTTATTTTAATGAACTCCTTAATGCTGGACTTTCTAAGAACAGAAATATGGGAACACCACGCTCTGGGGTCACTTGCAAATGAAACTCCAATCAAACAAATAATTCTACTTGAATTTCATTTTTTATATCAGAAATTCAGAGTTTGGGAAAGCAGAGATACATCAAGAGCTGCTGGAATTTTTGGGAGTCAGGAAAGTCCAATTTCTACACAACTCCAAGGCTGAGGCACCACTTGTAGAAAGGTTGAGAACATGAAGCCAATTCCTGTAATTGGCCAAAAATTGTATAGAACTACATAAAAATACACTTTTTTACAATACAAGTGGAACAAAATCCACTTGGCTAACAGCTGATCAACATGTTCTTCCTTCAGATTTCACCATTTGATTTAGAAGATGAAAGAAAATCGGTTTCTCTTTATTTTCCTGCTGATCTGTTCCTCATTTTGAAACAAAAGATCCCATCCTGAGGTCACCAAATGTCCCAAATCACTTACAGAGAGAAGTCTGTCTGCTGTCGGTCTCTTCTTTGGATTTTTTGTAAGTGCTATCTTGACAAAATTATGGAATGTTGCTGACCTTAAAGAAAAAGAGGGTTTATGTTGAATTTTTCAAGGTATTATTGATTTTAAGACAGTTGCTAAGCAGATTACAAGAGAGTGTGAAAAACTCGAATATTGTGCAGGTATCTCAACTCCACTTTGAATAATTACATTTCCAAGTTCATAAAATAGGGGGAAAAAACCCCATTTGATTCATGGAACTTGCACGGAAAACATTTTGGTACAGAAAAGAAACCAAGAATGACACCAGGAATTTCTCACAGGACAAAAAAACCAGGAAAAGATTAAACTATTACCTGTCCCAATGACAGGAATTAAGGAAGGATAAAGATTTTTCTTTTAGAACATACTAAGAGCACCAAAGAAGGGTCTCTTCTTCAATAATAACAATTTTTTTTTCCCCCCTCTAGCTATAAAATCACAGAATGGTTTGGGTTAGAAAGAACCTTAAGGATCACATAATTCCAATAAAATATGGATCAAAGGATGGAGCTCCACCTACCATTTTGCTTTTTCCTTTAGCTTGGGTGGTTGAAAATTACTTTTTGACATTAAAAACAGAGCCCTAAAGGGAAAGAAAGAATAATGATTAAAAAAAATTAATTTCATTTCAAAATCTAAATACTTTAACACTCTACAGTGAGAATCATGCTGGTGAAACTGGATTGAGTTTGCACTGGGTTAAAGGAGAGATACAGGGAATCTGTTAATTTTATTTTTAAATAAAATATTTTTAGTGCCATAATCCTGTTAAATATTAGGGTATGGCTTCTCTAGTGCTTTCCTGTCACCAGTAAATCTGTCCCTGCTCTCCATCAGATTCTTGATTCTGGAATCCCAGAATGATTTGGATTGGAAGGAACCTTAAATCCCATCTGACTCCAACCCCCTGCTATGGGCAGAGACACCTTCCACTAGGCCAGGTACCACCAAAAATGTAACAATTTCATGATTTTCTTTATAATTTCCATTCCAAATATAAGATTTGAGCAGATTGATGCCTTGAAGACAGACATGAAAACAGTGAAGGAATCTTGGTGGGAGTTTTTCCTTCTGAGCTCCAGAGAAGCTTCGAGCGAATCCTGAGGATTCCTGCTGAGTGAATCCCCAATTGCTGGGATTCAGGAAGGTTCTGGAACCTTCAGGGCACAAACCTCATGGGGTGGAGGTCGAACATGGGTGGCTGCAGCTCTGCCAGCTCGATGGCAGTGATGCCCACGGCCCAGATGTCACACAGCTGGTTGTACCCCCCGTTCTTCTCCACCGCCGCCACCTCGGGAGCCATCCTGCCAAAAAAAAAAAAAAAAAAAAAAAAAAAAAAAAAAAAAACCCACTTCAGTTCCTGCTCTCAGGGTGAGTTACAAAAGTGTGCACATAGCAAGAAAAAAATAGAATTAAATGAAATGTATAACTGTTGGATGTCTGTGACAGAGGTTTAGAATTTAAAATACCTCGTATTCCTCACCCCAAGAAAGAAAGAAGGGGTTGGGGGGAAATGAACAGGAAATGGGGAGGAAATGAACAGGAGGAATGCAAATATTTTTATGTCTAATGGAATAAGTTAAGGATTTTATGTTCAGATTGGCTTTTGATCATTACAGAAACATTTTAAAAGTTTTTATTAACATATGCATACAAATACACATATCCATATAACATATAAAATATTACACACTAATTTAAGCTCTACACTTACAATGATTCAGTTTGTTTCAATATTATTCTACAAAGTATTTATCATGTTTTTTTTTTTTTTTCCTTAAAGCTCTGGAAATATCTTGGATCTAAGGACAATTAATGTGAATTTGGTATGTTTTACACAGTGGGTAGAATCTTTTGAATTGTCTGAACACAAACTAAGGGACACAACATAATAAAAACAGACAAAGAACACAGCAAAAAATGTCACATTAAAGAGCAAGATAGGGACACAAAGAAATCAAAAGCTCCTTATGGATCCAAAAAAACATTTTAGGAGAGGGGATGCACCTGGATCACCTCTGGACAAAACCCCCATTCCCAATGGGAGCCCACCCTGAGATGTCCTCAGCACCCAGAGGTGTTTTGGGGTTGCTGGGAATAGCACCAGGCTCAGCATTCCCAGGAATTTATTAATGACCAGAAAACCTCCCTGTCCTCTGCCCTCCTTCTCCAAGGCAGCAGCAATTAAAAGCCAAATTAATAAATTCATTCTTTGGATGAAGCTGTTTGCCCAAAAAATCACCAGGCAGCTCCTCTGCACCCCAGTGATGCCTAAACCCAGCTAAATTTGCATATTAATCCAGCTCAAGATTTACAAATGATTCTTTGCATATTAAATGTTGCCTCGTGCAGACTTTAATCAGTAGGGATGATTAAAAAATAGTTGGAAAATCTGGTTTTCTTTCTGGAATCACAAAGACATTATTTTAGTCACTAAAAATATAAGGCTGAGAAACTAAACAACCATTGGGGTTCCCCAAAAAAGAATATTCTGGAAAAATAAATTTGAGAGAAAAAACAACCCTGCCTCAAATATCAAGTAGCTTTTGTTACAGCAACAGATGAGCTCCAATCAGTGCTTCCCAGATTTTTACCCTTTGGGCATTTTACTTGGAAAAAAAGGGAATTGATGCAATTTCTATAGACATGTGTGTGTGTGTGTGTTTGAGGATTTCTGGCATAAATACAGGCTCAGCTTTGCAGCACAGCAATCAAAGTGATTTCTTACCAGTAAGGGGTGCCAATAAAGGATTTCCTCTTTGCAATAGTGGCTGTTATTTTTGCTGCTACCCCAAAGTCAGCTGGAAAATAAAATCAAACCATCAGAGCCTGAGAAATCACAGTTGAAGAGCCCAATCTTGCTTTGTTGTGAAAGAACAATCACATTCTCATCCAAATTAAAAAATTTATTAAGGGAAATAATTGAAGATTAATAATGGGATCATTAATGTCTCTTCACTGACATGACTTCAAATCAAAGAGTTTTCTTTTCTACACAGTTCCCCTCTTACATCGTTTTTCCATCTCACAATACATCAACCAGAATTTGTGGATATTCAATATAAGAGGAAAAACAGCATCAGGCCTTGGAAAAGGCACTTTTTGTGTTTTATTTATGGAGGAATTGTGATGGGACATCTGTTCTCTGCCCTGGACACTCTGTCTAGGGGCCAAGCATCCCTTGATCTCAGAACTCCCAAACATCAGGTGGTCATGCAGACCCAAAAATTATTAAAATCCATTTTATTTTGATTGATTGGTGGTATAAAAGCTGGAGGATAACTTGGAAAAATACAAGCAGGCAAAAGGCTGGTAGCACAGTGTATCCCAAATTTAATGCAGGGAGTGCAATCTCCTCTCAGTGTCAGCTTTTCCTCTTTATTTTTCCTTTCTTTAAAAAACTGTTCTTTCCCAACACAGAATTAAGAAAATCTGAGAGGTTTAAAGGCTCAGTGGTTGAATAATGAAATTATCTCTAATTTCTTGATAAAATACAAAACTTCTCATTTCCTAACATAGCCTAGCCATGGATACACACTTTGGCATCACCTTCATCATCATTCCAAATAATCATGGAATAATTTAAATTGGAAAAGACTTTTAAATTATGGAGTCCAGAACTGCCCAGGCCACCTCTGTCCCATGTCCCCAAGTGCCACATCCACATGGCTCTTAAATCCATATTAAAAAACTCAAATTACTCACCCAATTTAACATCTCCGTGGTCTGTTAGTAGAATGTTTGCACCCTAAAATGAAATAAATTTAAAAAATCTTTATCAGGAATATTTTTCCTGCATTTGGAACTGCAAGATGAATTTCTCAAGGTTCCATGTTTACCTTTATATCTCTGTGCATTTTGCCCTTCATGTGTAAATAAGCAAGACCCTGGAAATAAAAGACAAAATTAATTATTCTGCCATTTGCTAACATCCTTCAAAGCCAATTTCCAGTTATTAAATTAAATTTTCTCAATATATTTTATTTGGAAGTGGAGATATTTGGGATTTGCAGATAAAGGATGCTTCACCTTGAATTTCTTTGCTATCAGCAGTCACAAAATGAAAGAGAATTTGATTTATCTGGTTACAGTATTTTACCCCCACATATCATTACATTTACCACCACAGAGTGGGCAAGCAGTTCAAAATTTAAGCAAATATTTGCATTATACCACACTAGAATTTCTTGCTCATTTTTCTTTACAGTATGGAAAATAACAAGTTACCTTGGTTAATTAGTTTCTGCTTAATTCCCAATAGAAAAGTGCTGGAAATGTAAGAATTTTCTGTATCTACTTTATTTACATGGAATAAACATTTTATTGTTCACATGTACAGTACCTGTAGAGTTTCTCTGCACACATAAGCAATTTGCAATTCTGACAGAGGTCCTGTTACTGAAATAAAGATTCAAAAATTCACTTTACAACATAGAACACATAAATAACATTGTGTAGCAGCCAAAAAGTGATTTATCCATGTCAAAGTTCAAGGCTGGTTTTATATGATCTGTATTGTACACTGAGCTGAAAAGAGGGGTTTGTTTGCTTGTTTTTCTCTAAAAATCCCCCAAACAGCACCAGCCCAGAAGACAATACCCACAGTGAGGAGAAAATCTGCTTTTTCAGAATCTAATTATGATTTCATGTGTGATTTTGTATTGTCAGGAAACTGAAAGTGACTTCTGCTAAGATTTTAATATTAGAAATGGGAATATTTCATAGCAGGGATTATCTAAAGGAATTGTTTTAAAGGATTTGTACTGAGTAGTTGAAAAATAAAGCAGAAAGAACTCAGGCATCCAAAAACTCAGTGTTATCATTTAAAGGCACAGCAAGTCCCCAACTGTTTTTCCAACAACTCCAATAAATTATTCTGCAGCAGCAACAACTCCAAATGAAACTTTAGGAAGGAAAATAATACAAGATTGAGATCGTATTTCACAGGGGTGAGAATAAAAGTAATTTTTCCCCTTTAAAGATCAAATGTTGAGATTTCCCAATGAAAATTGCTTCCTCACTCCATGCACAGTGTCCTTATCCAGCTGTTCTGCCATAAAATGTCAAATATTAAATGTCAAATCTATTAAATGTCAAATATTATGTCAAAAATAAAATGTCAATATTACAAATATTAAAAATGCTGCAAAGTGCTCTCAAAATCTACTGACTGTAGCTAAAAATCACTGTTTGTGCCCTCCCCAAAACCCCCACATCCAGTGCCAACTGTTCCTTGCAGGTTTATTTTTTTTATTTTTTTATTTTTTTTTTCTTTGCAGAAAGATTCCCAAAATTAAAAAAAAAGTGAAAATAATTGCCCAAGTACCATGGTAAATGTCCTGGAGGGATCCCCCACCACAGTATTCCATGCATATCCACAGCTTCTCACGGCTACCAAAACAAAATTAAAACACAGGCATCAGGAACTGATTGATCTGGATGCAGAAATCATCATTATTTCAATTATTTTCTATTAGTCTTGATCATTCTCTGTTAAAAATACACATTGTGATAGATGTCCAGTAGTTACAGTGTTATTAATACAAATTCTTGTGTTATTGATATAAATTCTCATGGTATCAATAAAAATTTTTATCAATCAAAAGTTTTGATGCCAAAGTCCCTGAGAAAAATTTAAACATTCTCAAATATAAAAGGTGGTGATTTAACCCTACAATAAAACACCAGAGGTTTATCTGCTGTCAGCAAAATTACATGAAAATATCACCCTAAACTCAAGTGTTTGAATCTTAAATTGAAATTCCCTCATTATACCTAAAAAAAACCTCTGCATGCCCTCCAAAATGGGGAATTAAAAATTCAGCCATTTAATTCCAGCTGAGTCCATTTGGCTTGCAGGGATTATTAAAATGCAACTCTCCAAGAAATCTAAAGATGAATTCTTGTAGAAAAAAAAAAAAAAAAAAGACCAAGCAGGCAAAGTGCAGATTTCTATTCCCACAGAGCCAATTGATAAATGGGGCTCCATAAAAATGAAGAATATTCCCTGATTTCCTGTGGAATATTTAATGGAAGGTGAAATGAGCTGAACCACCTTGGTTTTGCCTCTGTTACACCAGAAATGTTCTTATCAGCAGCTCAGATTTTTAATTCCCCAATCACACTTTCATAGCCCAGACAATTATAATTAAATAAAATATCCAAAGGCAATTCTGCTCTAGAAAAATAATGAGCTGCTTTTATATTAGAACTGATAAAATGTGTGAGTAGGATTGGATATGTTGCAAGAGTCTCCAAGGGAAAAATTTCTTTCTGTTCTTAGTGATAAAAATATTCCAGCCTTTTGGCCAGCAGAGAAAACAAAATATTAGTCACTTTTGTTTTTTAAAGCCAATTGGGTTGGTTTAAAAAAAAAAAAAAAACCAAAAAAAACCTAAGGGCAATTCAATCTCTGGAAGAAAATTAAATGAGGATAAAAGGACTAAACCAGACTGGGATTGTTTTAGGAAAGAAGCAGCAGGAATGTTGATATAAAAAATGGGATTTACCTGAGATAACTCCCAAAATAGGCGACTATGTTGCAATGTTTGCATTCTTTAACCATATATATCTCCTGCTGGATCAGGGAGAAGTCATCTCCTGCAAAACAGCAACAGCCAGGGTTACATCACCAACTGCTCAACATCCCCTGAGCTCTGCAGGGATGCAGAGAATTTGGGCAAACATCTGGATGCCAGCCCAGCCCATCAGCCCCAGCACTCAAATCAAATATACTTCAGTTTTCCTTCTTTATGATAGGATTAAATTCTGAATTTTTATGATGGGAGTTAATTCAAAGAAATTTAAATTTTTGATTCTCTATCATGGAAGCCAATTCAAACTTTACTTTTGAATCTCTATGATGGGAGTCAATTCAAACTTTACTTTTCAATCTTTATGATGGGAGTCAATCCAAACTTTTGAATCTCTATCATGGAAATAAATTCAAACTTTACCTTTGAATTTTTATGATGGGAGTCAGTTGAAATAAATTTTACTTTTCAATCTTTATGATGGGAGTAAATTCAAACTTTACTTTTCAATCTTTATGATGGGAGTCAAATGAAATAAATTTTACTTTTGAATCTCTATGATGGGAGTCAATTCAAACTTTATTTTTGAATTTTTATGATGGGAGTCAATTCAAACTTTATTTTTGAATCTATGATAGGAGTCAATTCAAAGAAATTTTACTTTTGAATCTCTATGATAGGAGTCAATTCAAACTTTACTTTTCAATTTTTATGATGGGAGTCAATTCAAACTTTACTTTTCAATTTTTATGATGGGAGTCAATTCAAATAAATTTTACTTTTGAATCTTTCTGATGGGAGTCAATTCCAACTTGACTTTTGAATCTTTATTTCCATCCAGCTGCTGCCAACAACACGAGTGTGGATTGCTGGGAGCCAATTGCAGAGCCCACATTGCACAGGCTGGTTTTTAGGAATATTTCATTCCCAGGGGACCTGCACACCCACTCAGCTGACTCACAGCTGCCTCCTCAGGAGGGGGGGTTGGGTGATTGTGCACATTGGCACATCCTAAATATCTTTTTTTTTTTTTTTTTTTTTGGGGGGGAAAAAAAATGATCTACTTAAAAAAATCCGTTCTGAGCAAGGCATTTTTTTCTGCCACTTTAACATAAAAGGGTGATTTTTTAATAAATTAAAAAAGCAATCATTTCAGAGATGTAACTTCTGTTTTTATTTTTATAGCTAAATCTCCTTGAGAGAATTTCCAAGCAGAGGATGTTCTCCCCAGAATCCTGCATTCAAACTCTGCTTTTTTCTATATTATCAACTTTTTTTTTTTTCATCCTTTGGCACGGGAAGGACAAAGGGGAATGGCTTTAAGCTGCAGAAAGGGACATTTAGATGAGATATGAGAAAGAAATTCTCAGCTGTGAGGGTGGGGAGAGCCTGGAATGGAATTCCCAGATTTGCTGTGGCTGCCCCTGGATCCCTGGAAGTGTCCCAGGCCAGGTTGGACATTGGGGACAGTGGGAGGTGTCCCTGCCATGGCAAAGGGTGGAATGGGATGAGCTTTAATGTCCCTTGCAGCCTAAATTATTCTGGGATGTTTATTTTTGTTTAAAGTTTCCCCAGTAAAATTCTCTCCTATATTAAAGTCAGGGATGTCCAACCCAGAAAATACCAAGTGTTTTATCCTGCTCCCTTTAATTTAGATGATTTTGACAAGTCCAAGAGGACTCAAGCACTGGGGTAAATTGAATTCTTCATGTGTTTATGTAAGTAGCAGCACAGCTAATATTTTTTAATAACCTCTTTTAAAATTGATGTTTATATTTGCTGAGCTTTGAGGCAACTTCCCTGAGAACAGTGGTGCTGGCAAAAGAAGTACCAATGTGTTATGAAAGAAATTATCACAACTTTTATGTCTCAGTGACTGCCAGGCTTTTATTTGAGAAAATAACTATGAAATACAAAGGTAAAAAGGGAACCCACTCATAAGAATCCACCCCTGACTGATTTAAGTAAATCCTCAAGGGCTTCTTGATGTTGAATTTTATGGAGAAACACTTCACTGGGGCAGGAAAACAGTAGTAGAGAAGTTTCAAATGTCAAGAGGCTTTTTATAAACATCACTAGTATTTTTTTTAACCAATGAAAAAGAGAAAAGGCAACACAACTTCCACAAATTTAGCAGAGATTTCACACTGGGCTTGGTTTAGGGGTTACCTTGAAGCTACAACTTTGCTTGGATTCAAACATCCTGTGAAAAATAATCACTGTGGGTGAAGGATTCCTGAGTTTAGAGAATCCCAGAATGGGTTGGGTTGGAAGGGAATTTAAATTTAAATCCCATCCAATCCCACCCCCCTGCCATGGCCAGGGACACCTCCCAATGTCCCAGGGTGCTCCAATTCCCACCCAACCCGGCCTTGGGCACTGCCAGGGATTCAGGGGCAGCCACAGCAAATCTGGGCACCCACCCTGAGAGCCAGGAATTCCCTCCCAATATTCAATTTAAATCTACCCTCTCCCAGTTTAAACCCATTCTCACTTGCCCTTGTTCAAAGTCCCTCTCATTCATTTTTATAAAATTCTTTAATTCCAGCTTAAATCTCATGGATTCATTCCTCCAACAAACTTCCTAAGGGAAATTGTTGAATTCTCACAGACAACTGGCACATTTTCAAACTACTCAAGTATTTTGAAGAAAGTCAAATCTAAACATGGTTTAATGTAAAATCCTCTCACCCCACACTGAAAAAAAAATCCATCTTTCTCCACTACTCGTTGTCCACAATGCTAAATCCCAGGGGAATCTTCAAATAAAAAAAAAAAAAAAAATCCTTGAAACATCAGCTGTGGCCTTTCAGCACAACTGAATTCTGCCCCATGTGAAAATCATGGTGGAGAAACATCCCCAAAAGAGCAAAACTTTGCAGGCAGCAGCTGGAACTGTGCATGGATCACGGGGCAGCAGCCAAGGCAGTTCTAGGAACTGTGACTAATGGGGGAAAATTGAGGAGAATGCAGAGATTTGGGCTAGAAAAGAACTGGAATTGAAATGATAACAACCTTCATGAATATAGAACATAGCAGGGAAGTGGGGAGAAGGGATAATTCACCTCCAGTTTTATAATAGGACAATTAGCAATGGGTTTAAATTGCCTTAACCTACATCCCCTGGACAGATTAAAAAGTTTTTCCCTACTGGAGTAATATCAGGGATGGGAATAAGTGAAATTTCCAACAAATTAAAAAAAAAAAAGAAAAAAGAAGAAAACACTCAACAAAACCCCACCAGCAATGATCCTGCCTGAGGGAGACAGCAAAGATGATCTTGTGATTTGCTACTCATAAATGAAGAATTCAGGCAAGAAATGAAGCTTACTTATAGAGAAAAGGGGGAAAAAAAGGATTTGGAAAAGAAAGAAGAAGGGGAGCTGATAGAGAAGTAGCAAACAGATGGAAAGAAGAGAAGTTATCCATGAGAAAAGTTTGGCTAAAATAAGGAGGAAATGATTCTGAAAGATGAGACACAGAGATAGGAGAGAAGATGTATAGTTGCTCAAAGATGACAAGAATGAATACAAAACAAACGAATTCAGAGTTTCCAGGCAGCTGGACTATTAATCTTGGCAAGGGATACTGGAATAGGGCAAAAATTAAATATCCTTGGATAGCAGGAAAAAAAAAAACCCAGACAGAATTTGTAGAAAATACTTCACTGAGAGGGAGACAGCAAGATAAAAAGAATTAGACCAAAGGTGACCAAAATATCCATAAAAAAAAAAAGATCTGTTGAAGGGATTTGATGGTGAGGAACAGGGAATTGGGAAAGCTGACTTTTGCCTGCTCACATGTTGGCAGTTTTGGGATGTGTGGCACGCAGGGAAATGCTGCAGTGCCCACGAGCAGGGACTGAGTCACTGCAGCCTCCTGTGCTGTGCAATTTTACCTCTGCAGAGAGGGACACAGCACAGAACCCACAGTGGAATATTCTCCTTGGATGGCACAAATGGCTGCTCGTCCCCATGTGGCAGGGAGGGGACTGCAGGGACCAACAGCCCTGTCATGGGGGGTGGCATCTGAGCCCATCTCAGGAGCTGAGCAAGGCAAGGGCTGGTAAATTCATGATAAATCTGTATTTAAATGGGAGAGCATGGAGCAAACTGGGGGAATATCAACAGCTGTGAATTATTTTACTTCAGAGATCATCGGTGGGAGAGGCTGGGAGAGCTGGGAATGTTCCCCTGGAGAGGAGAAGGATCCAGGGAGGGCTCAGAGCCCCTTCCAGAGCCTAAAGGGACTCCAGGAGAGCTGGAGAGGGACTGGGGACAAGGGATGGAGGGACAGGACACAGGAAATGGCTTCCCACTGCCAGAGGGCAGGGATGGATGGATGGATGGATGGATGGATGGATGGATGGATGGATGGATGGATGGATGGATGGGATATTGGGATGGAATTGCTGCCTCTGAGGCTCTGGAACAGTTCTCCCAGAAAATCTGTGGCTGTCCCTGGATCCCTGAAAGTGCCCAAGGCCAGGTTGGATATTGGGATTTGGAATATCTTGGGACAATGGAAGGTGTCCCTGTCATGGCAGGGGGTGGAATGAGATGATCTTTAAGGTCCCTTCCAACCCAACCCATTCCATGATTCCATGATTCCATGATTCTATGCAGAGCTGGAATGCAGCAGGATCCTGCCAAGTTCTCCTGGATCCTCCAGCAGGGGAAGGCTCTGATGGCTCCAGAGCCTCACAAAGCACTGCTGGGTCTTTGGGAATTCCTGATCCTGATGATTTTTAGTTTATTCCTGCACATATTTTCAAATGCTCCACTGCTCTGAGTGGTCCCATCCTGCAGGAAGACACCAGGTCACTTGTCACAGCTGTCCCTGGGAAGAGCTGTGAACCTTTTTTCTTAGGGGAGAATTTCCTCGGTTTTGTTTTAAATTGGTTTATTCTGCATCAGTGCTGTGTGGGAGCACAGGGAGGGACAGGTGGCCAAGAGGAGAGAAGGGATGGCACTGAGAGACATCCCAGTGTCACCAGAGGGTGGGACAGAGGCACATTTGAAGAGGCCAGATCTTCAAGGTGCAGCACTCCTGTCCCCCACCACGCTGATGTGACTCCCAAACCTCTCCAGGCAGCTTGACCTGGGATTTTTAATAATACAACGAAGATTCGGGATTTTAAGTAACATTTAAACAATTAACATTTGTAATTTAAAAATGAGATGACATTTAACAACAGGATTGGAGGGACACTTGTAAGGGACACTGAAGGATGAAGAGCAGCCTCTGCTGGGACCACTCTTCAAACATTTCTTATTTCAACAACCTAAGTTCCCAAAGAAGGAGAGGAATCCCTGTAGGAATGACAACTATTTACCCCAGACCACACAAACTCCACAGCCCCTCTCCAGCTCTCCTGGAGCCCCTTTAGGTCCTGGAAGGGGCTCTGAGCTTTCCCTGGATCCTTCTCCTGTCCAGGTGAGCACCCCCAGGTGTCCCAGCCTCTCACACAGGTGAGGTCTGTGCTGATTTCCCAACATCCCTCGTGCTCACCACATCCCAATCATCCACTCCAAACCACTCTCCTGAACCTCAGGAAAGTTCAGGTTGTGCTGATGAAAGGGATGGCTTTCCCAAAATATTTTCATCCTGTTTTATCCATATTTTCTATAGAAGTTTTTTTAGATTCTGTTTTATCCAGATTGCTTTTCACAGGACTCATGGAAACCTGCAGTCTGACAGAAAGAATTTCAATTCCCCAAACTTGAAACTCAAGAAATTTGATTCCAAGCAGGGAAGAGTTATTTGGAAACAGTGATGTTTCCAATCCAACAGTGATTTTCCTGCTGGGCATGAAGCTGCCAACTGCTAACCACTGATGGTCCTAAAATCAGTCACTGGACACCCAAAATCTGCACTGAAACACCCCAAACCTGTCAAAATTCCAAGGAATTCTGGGAAAAACATCAGGAAAAATTCAGCCTAAAAAAACCAGAAAAAAATCCCTAAAAATTTGCACTAAGAAATGCAAATAACCCCAAAAATCGCACTAAAAATGGCCAAAAAAGTCCTAAAATCTGCACTAAAATACCCCAAATCTGCCAATATTTCCAGGATTCCTGGGAAATATCTTAGGAAATAACTCCTAAAAAAATCCATGGGCAAGAATAGCTAAAAAACCCCCCAAAAGTCCTAAAATCAGTCACTGGACACCCAAAATTTGCACTGAAACACCCCAAACCTGTCAAAATTCCAAGGAACTCTGGGAAAAATCCAGGAAAAATTCAGCCTAAAAAAATCCCTAAAAATTCGAACACCAACCAGGCTGCACAGTACAAGGCATGGAAGGTGTGTGTGATAATGAGAAATTATTTTCATATTTCTTCAACCCCAGGTGCTGTCAACAATGTTGAGTTCTAAGCCAGCAGGCTTAGTTGAAATCAGCCTTAGGCTTAGTTGAAATCAGCCTTAGGCTTAGTTGAAATCAGCCTTAGGCTGGTTCTTCTGCACAGCTCATGTCATTTTTGGGGAATTTATTGTGTGGAAAATGAAGCTGCCTTGCCTCATTTTCAGTCCCCAAAAGCTCTGCTGTGCTCTGTTCTCGTGGTGCAGAGGGACCAGACCCTCCTGTGACCCTGCCTCAGCCCCTGGCTGTGCTCCTGTGTGGAAAATCATCTTTTTGAGCTGAACCATGGCATTCAACACACACCTCGTGAAGCAAACCTGGCTTGGAATGCACTGAGCACGACATCTCACACCTCTGGATGATTCTGCTTCCTACAGCTCCGTGTCCAGTTTAAGATTCAAGTTGAAATACCTGGCTATTTTTGGGATCTCGAATGGAAAATGTAATTATTGGACCAAAAAACCCTCAACAACCCAGCAGTGAGATACTTCTGTAACCTTGCAGAAGGTTCTGAACACGACACAGGGCATTAATCATCATAACAGCAATATTTAAAACAGATATTAGCATATTTCAAAATATTTTTGATGATATTCTCCCAGGGAGAAACTTCCATGGCTGAAAACTCTACTGGCAAATAATTCCCTCTTTGTATTGAGTCCCCTCTCAATTCATCTGCTAAACCCATAGAAGGAAGAGGCTTTAGTGTTTCAGACAGTTTTGGCTGCTATGCTGCTGAGTACAGTTGGATTAGTTTCTGAAATAGAATTGGCTCTCAAATTATTTGAAGCATTTGTACTCAGGGAATGCTGGGAAATGTCATTAGCGTGCCATAATACTTTTGCCTAATGCTCTCCAAAGTCTATGCCAAAAAAAAAAAAAAAAAAAAAAAAAAAAAAAAAAAAAAAAAAAAAAACAAAGGAAAAAAAAAAAAAAAAAAAAAGGAAAACCACTATTTTGACTCCAAGTGACTGTGGGAGCAGACCTAGAGAACTGCCCCAAATTCAAATAAATTAGTGACAGCAACCCTCGAAGCTGAGTTTGTCTTCTTTGTCTGGAGAAGTGACAAAGGTAAGAGCTGATGAAATAAAATACAGATAAATCCATGCTGGGATCTTTGGGTACTCACACAGTACCTGCAGGAGATGAGAGAGGAACAGGAACAAGGCAGGACTCACCCCTGCCATGCCAGCAAAATCCTGAAACTCCTCAAATCCTGCCCCTTTTATTGAGTGCAGCTCCTTCAGCTTTCATTCAACACATTCCTCACCTCCTCTGGAGCACCAATTCCCTCTGTCTATGGATTAATCAAGTGTTGAATTTGGAGCTCGTATTTTTCCATCAGCTAATTAATTGCCATCGATGAGACACCTCCTTCTCCTCCTCTCCAGAAGATGCTGTAACTCCCAAACCTATTTCTCCACTTACTAACTTAGAGAATTTATTATTATTTTAATTCCAGCTGTGCCCTACTGTGTGAGAGGAGCTTGTGCTGGTGTTTGGAGGGGCTGCCCTCCCCAGGTAATTCCTACAGCTCCTTACCTGGCCCAGGAATTGATAGTGCCCTGTAATTTACAGTCTTCAAAAACTACTCAAAACCCTTAAAATTAGTCAGAAAATTGATGTGTGTAGCAGCCAATTATTAATTTCTTTAAAAATCTGGAGTATTTGAAATAAGAGAACTAAAAAGGAATAAGTAAATAAATAAATGCCTCCTTAAAAACCAAGCACCCAACAAATCCCTGCCAAGAGGCTGTGGGTGTACATGTGATGGATGGAGATCAGGTTGGCAACATTTAAAAGAAGATGGATTAAAAAAAAACAACAAAAAAACCAGAAGAAATTGCTTCCCTGTGGTGATCAGATCAATATAATTAAACAAAAGACATGGTCATCAGTGCTAATTAAAATGGGGTTCTCAGATTTGGGGCCAGTTTTGCATTTATCCTCGTGGTGCTTAAGCAGCACCAGGGAAAGGCAGAATTCTGCTCCTGCCTCAGTTCTATCAACACAGGATTCAGCCTCTGCTTCACTTCAGCTTTCAAAACAGCTCTCCAAATTCAGAATAAAACCAGATACATTTCATCTGGATTAGCTGCAGTGACACAGTGCTGGAGGAAGCTTCTCACCAAGGCAGTATTGTCCTTTTTGTGTCACTAAAGCATTGCTCTGCCTCACCACAGCCCTGCTGGGGACAGTGGTTTGTTCCCCACTGCCCCAAACTCAGGCCACAGCATGTCACACTTTGAGGGCTTTGAGGGATTCCCACTGTGTTCTCACTGCCTAATGAACCTGATCACTGCAGTCCCCCTAACAAAGCCAGGCCTGCTCTGCTGAGCACTCACACACACACAAAGGCAGTGGTTTTCACTTTTCCCCTCAATCTCCCCATGCTTTTTCTACATTCAGCCTTCAAACACATTTGTTTTTCTGCACAGAACCAACCAGAAATAAAAATTAACCCTCCCCTTAGACCCTTCAGCCCTGGATGGTCTTTAAGTTCTCTTCCAACTCAAAGCATTCTGGGATTCTGTGACCCTTCCAGCATAAACCATTCTAGGAATCTGTGATTTCCACTCAGGACACAATTTCAGATTTCAACTCTTTGTGCAGCACTCAGATTAATCTTCAGCTCAGCAAATCTCTTGGGTCTCCTGCTTTTAGGAGGAGTGGCAGAAACTCCATGGGGAAGTGACAGTAGGAGCCATCCTCCTCCCCCAGCAGAGCTTAAAGAAAAGATGACATTCAAAACCACAGGGACTGCTTTTCCCAGTGCACCTTTGGTGGGAATTAGGATCACTGCCTGATCCCTTCCCCCTTTCAACTCCCACATCCCACCAGCTCCTCACTGGCTCAGAGCTCACAATTTACCATCTGTCCCTAATCTTCTCTTTGTACTAACAACGCTTTTAATTGCAACATCTCTTTATGCAGCAATCGATCAGGCAGATAAGAACAAACAAGGAAATAGTGAGCAGTGACACAGCCAAGAGCAGTGGTACATCCTGCAGGGCTTCCTGTCATCTAACCACTGAAACTCCAAAAAAAAAAAACCCAAAAAACAAAACAAAACAACCCCAAATACTTCTTTTGTCTAGAACTTCACAGTGGGTGAAAATAAACACATGGAAAAAATGAAAATGCGATTCAAAAATACAGGAAAGAATGTAAAACTTACCAGGCTCTAACTTGATTATTTTTACAGCAGCCAGTTCTCCTGTATGAAGATTTCTAGCCTGAAACGAGAGAGTTAAGATATATTTAATTATAATTCAAAGGCACCTAACAGTCTTACAGATTATTAAAAAATACAGTGTTGTCTGATACAAACACAATGCAAAGCTGAGAGCAACACGGGTGAGGATAATCTGGGTTTGGAATTAGCACAGCACCAGCCTGGCTGGAATTGTGAAGTGTTCCTGGCAGCTCTTTTTCATTTACCAGCAAATTACTGAGGTTGGGAAAGTCCTTCAAGGTCACCCAACCTGTGACTGTCACCACCTTGTCACCCAGCCCAGAGCACTGAGAGCCACATCCAGGAATTCCTTGCAGGGATGGGGACTCCAAACCTCCCTGGGCAGCCCCTGCCAAAGCCTGACCACCCTTTTGAGGAAGAAATTCCTCCTCATGTCCAACCTGAACCTGGAAATGAGAATTCATGCCTCTTAAATATCATTTTTAAGGGAAGTTTCTGGCACTCAAGGATGCACCTGGGGCTCACCCATCTCATGGTGCTAAACCTCAATTTGACCCAAAAGTGGAAGTGAGAGGGGCAGGAGAGGCACTGCAGAGGCACCAGGGATAAAGTCACAGTTCCCTGCAACAACTTCACTCTGTAAACTCCTTCCTTGGTCCCCACAATCCTCCAATTAAGCCTTTACAGAATTGTCCTCTCTGGATATGCTCCAAATTTCAACTGAAAATTCAGTGCTGGAAAATGTTACAGGAACCTCAGATATAGAAAGTTTTAAGAGGGGATTTCATGAACACTTTGTAGTAACTAAATCACTCAAGCACCATCACCAGGGCTAATTATTGAGGACACACAACCTGATTTAATTAGGGACTGTGGCTGAGCATTCAAGAGTTTAATCCCAATTGTTTCATTCTTACCCTAACAAATAAATATGCAGAGTCTTCTGAACAGCTGAAATCTGGTGAAGAGGTGGATTACAGAAAATGGAGGGAAAACTGGGTTAAGTTAAATTAAATCAATTTGGACTTGAGGATGTGAAGGAAAGGTGACCCTGTGAAGGCAGTCCTTACAAAATAAACACTTTTCTCCTGTGCATGGACAAGAAGTCTTAAAAACAGAAAAATCAAGAGCTTGAAGGATTAACCCCCACTCAGTTTTATCAACACCTAGACAAGCCTCAAAATAGGAAAAGGCTTTCCAGCCAGGAAAAAAATCAAACCAAACCAAACCAAACCAAACCAAACCAAACCCAATGATTGGCCTTTCAAAGCCCTGCAGTGTTAAGAGATGGGTGTCAAAATGCAAGGCCAAGAACACAAATCTGACTCAACTTGATCTCAAAGAGAACGTGAACAAATCTACAAAGGACCCAAACATCTGCAGACCAAATCACTCAGAGTCATCTGCAAACCACAAAGGAAACGTTCACCACTTCTGACAGCACCTTCTCACCGAGCTGTTTTTAGACCACAGCAAAATCCTTGGTGTCCTTCAAAATGCAGAAAGACCAGGCAGATCCCAGTGGGATAAAGGATCAGGGGCTGTTACACCAATGTGGAACAGGGATGTTCCCAGCAGGGACACACACTCTGCCTCAGGGAAGCCAGGGATGCTCCACTATCCACACTTTTATCCAGGAGCAGCTCAGAATATCAGCTTCACTCCTGGAGTACAAAAAGCATCTAATTCCTCACAAATATTCCTTTTCCATACAAGCAGTTAAGTGCCACTGTCATGCTGAAGCCTGAAGGAATGGATGGAGTCTGCCAAAGGTCTGCTTGGCTGGGATGTGAAGGTTCAGCCTGGGGATCACTGCAGTTGCTGGCTCTCAGCTCTCACACACGACACAATTCCACTCAGCACTGTCCTGCTGCTTTCCAATATCACCATCAAGCTCATATATAATCTATAGCTTGCATATGAACTATTTTTGGGTTTCAAACTTTGCCTGCTGGAACACAAAAGTCCCCACTGGGTTGATATTTATGACCTAAACATATCAAGTTGTCTGAGCCACTGTATTTTCTGGCCCCACAGCTTGTATCTTCCACCAGACACATTCTTGAGTTGATGACACCGAGACCACATGTGATCATTAACTCCTGTCATGCCAGAATAAAAAGCAAAATCTCAAGTATTCCCTGATCCTCCAAATCCTTTTGTGGATGCTCACAGGTAAGGAATGGTTTTAAATCTCCAGTCTAGACATTGTGAGCACGCAGTAAATCATCTAAAATGTTTCCCAAGAGATATCACCCACCTGCAAATGTCACCCGAGGCTTTTGTCCCTCCTCTTGGCTTGCACAGCTGTGCTCAGGTACAGCTGCACCTTCCCCTGTCCCACCTGCCAGCTGAGCACTCGATCAATAATGAATTACAGCTCTCATTAAAAATGCAACAAGGCGAGGGCTAAAAACTGGTTCTCCCTGTACACACCTAGATATGAAAACTGTCACATCAGGATTCCTCACAGCACTCTGGGACGTGTTAAGTTGAATAAATCCTCATTTCCCACGAGTCTCTGAAGTTTGCATCATTCTATTTTTTTTTTTTTAAATAAGAACGGTTCAGTTACCAAGAAAGTCACAGACAGGAAGGCACCACATCCACATCACTGGCTTTGTCAATCAAACCTGAAATTTGACTAGAAATTATATTTGACAAAAATGTAAGTCCCTAATGTGAAAAATTAATTAATGATCTCAGTCTGTCTTATTCATATACTCCTGCACTGCAGAGGGGGAACTACAAGCTAAGAAATTACAGTTCTTCAAATAATGTTATTTATGTTTTCTGAGCCCAACAGCAAAATATCTGCCTCCTCCTCATCCCTTGAAATTGTGTTTCAAGTCTCAATTTAAAATTAGCTGAAAGTAGCCAGGGGCCAGGAAAGCTGTGTAATCCAGACCTGTTCAGTATCTCATGAGCTATAATTGACAAAGAAAATGATCATTTATATGCATTTATCCCATAAAGATGACATATAATGAACCCTGATGTTATGTTTGAAATAGTAACATTTCACTTTTAAGGAAGATAACATCTGTTAGATGTCTAATTGTTTTTAATTCTTCTGGCCTTGATCCCTTCAATATGTAAGGAAGTCTCCTAAGAATTCATTTGACACTAAAGGCTGAAAGTTTTGGTGTCCACATCTCCATCGGCAACACGGCCCAGCTCCACATGACAGAAGTAGATCCCAAATTCCCAAGACATTTGCTGTAAGACTTTCTCCAAGAGGAAGACAGACTTTTGCCCTTTATTAGTATTGATCCTAATTTTATTTAATGAGACTTAAACCTGAAGATCATGCTCCCTATAGAATAAAAGCTGAAATTACAGGATTTTGGCAGAAGGATTGCAAAACTCCAACGTGAGCCACACAAGAATGGGATCAGAAGAAGAATGTATTTGAATGAAGTGAACCACAGCCGAATTCTATTTTGCTCAATGTCATTTCTAGAGTTTATTTACTGAGAAGGAAGAGTTTGGCAGAAGCCTTTTGGTCACCTCTTCAGCTGTCCCACAGCCTGAGAGAGGATGAGTGACAGCATCCCACTGAGCACAGCTCTTCCAGAATATTTTAGCAGCTGAATACTTACACTGCTGAACATCACATGGAATCTGTGTTCAAAACAAAAAGTACAAACACAAGCACTCTTTTTTTTTTTCTTTTTTTGGATATCCCATTGCATTGCTGTATTGACTGAGCACATCCCACCCCACTAATGTGACAGCACAGTTAGCAGGACTATTTTGGGGAGCTGGGAGAGTTTTGTAGTATCACACACCAAAAAAATCATTGGGTTTTCCTACTGAGAATTGACTTTCTTCCCAAACAGCTGCAGTGGGACAATGGAAGCCGAGTGAGCCCCGTGGCAATCCCTGTGTGTGACACTTCCCACCACACACCCAAAGAGCACACCTGAGAAAACACACTCTGGGCAGGTCACTGCTGTAGCCAATGACCAGAAATAACACAGAGAACTGGTTTCAGAACCAGTTATGCACTCTGCACTCGTGTTTTATTTGTTTTCAAGAGTGCAGGCCAAACAGTTCCAGCCCAGGGGGTCCACAGTGCTGAGCCACGTGAGATGGTTAAAAATGGGGGAACCTTGGACATTTCAATCTGTGCTCAGTGTCCTCTTCCTGTCACCTTCTCCTACCCACCGAGGAAGAGAAAAGCAAGATTCATTCAGCAATATCCCTCTCACAGGCTCCAAATTAGTATTTTCAATTTCCACGGTGAAATCCTCTCCCCAACATCACTGCCTCATGTCCAGCCTTGGATCAAGAGCTCCATTCAGCAGAGGAGCTGTTTGTTGGAGCGTGTCTTCATTTCATTGAATCAGAATTGCAGCTCTCCCCTCCCTCCCTCCCTCCCTCCCCAGTTTATTCACCCCTTGCCAAGCTTCACTCACCACTGCCCACGATGTTGTGCTGCCTCAAGTGCTGCCTTCTTGTCCCCAGTCACTGAATATCCCTTCAAAAGGTGTCTGACCTCCTGCCCTGAGAGTGAAACACAAGCTCCTCTGCTTCCAGTTTCTGACCCCTTACACTTTGGAATTCCCAACCTGCTCTGTGTGCTTTGGAAATTCCCATTATGCTGCGTTTTTCTTTCCATATCTTACACTGCATCATCAAACAGAGCCTTGAATTCACCTTCCTGTGTGTCTGAATTCACATCTCCACTGTCAAGAGCTCTCATCTACCTGAAGTGAGCCAAAGAAATGTCTCTCATTTTATGGGCTGCCCTAAAACCATGAAAACAGGGAATTCTTAATGGATGGTGATCTGCTGGACTCTAACAGAATCTGAATTATGTCCTAATGCAGAACTTTAAATAAATGTTCCTAGTGTTTATTACAATTAACTACATGATTTTGCTTACACTTGTGCTTTACATAAATCTGACAGATTTAAAAAATGTTTTGGAACTAGAGCTGGAAAAAACCAAGTATCAGCAACATACTCTTAATGACTGGAAATGAGATGTCTGCTCTGCTCAAACACAATCTCTTTATCAGTTTAACACCCCGA